ACAACATGCGTGAACATGCGTAACATTCCATGATTCACATGTTGCCGTGTTGCTGGCTGCTGCTGCCCACCACTCCATTTGAAGTTTTCAAGTTCAGCAACCAATTTGTGTCTAACATGAAGTAGCTGGTAGGTTATTTTTGGCATTTTGCCTGTTTCATGCAGATAGGACTGTGCATTTAAAATGTAAGGCTCCAAGAGTAATCAAAATAAGATTTTCAGAAAATAAATCTGAGGTGGAAGTGAGAGCAGATAAACTTTCCTCTCGGTTTAAAAGTCATATTCTGTGATTCTGCACTGCCGAAGAAGGATAAGTGTCGTATGTCTTGAGAAGCTGCCAAGAGATACGCAGCACGTAGCTTCTCCAACCTTCTCACCTCCAGCGAGAGCACGTGGAGCATGGGAGCGGGCTGCGCGCTCCGAAGTGGTCCAGCTTCCGGCGGGGCGGCGGGTGCCCACGGCCACTGCCGCAGGGTTGTTCCGAGACACAGCCAGTCCCAGGCGCTGAAATCAAAACCTGTTCACCGAGAATTTTAATTAAATATATACTGAGAGTCTGCTGGGTTCAAGACTAAACACACACACAAATTATAGGAGGTACTGCATCTGGAGAGATATTTGCTTCCCTGTTTTCATTTAGGTGGGACCCAAAAATGAGTCCATCTGACGTGGAATTCTGCCCTCTGAGTTTGTTTACAATAACCAGAACAAGCTGTAACTTCTTGGTAGTGAGATGAGTGACAATTAACATAACTGTTCTTGTTTACATTTTTTTTAAGAGCCATTCCAGTTAATTTTAAAAATATTGTTGAGTGTTTGGAAACTTTTAGGAGTAATTCTTTCAAAAGTAATTTTTCTCTGTCTGCCCCTACATGGCAGTACTTTGCTGTCTGGTAAAACAAGTGAGGTTCAATTTCAGAAAAGCCTCTGAGTACGTAGCACATTTTTCTGAGTGTTCGAGAGCAGGGCTGAGACCTACAGGAGCCCAGGATGGGCAGAGCTGACAGACGAAGCAGAAGACGCACTGGACATGCAGATACAAGAGCATGACTAACCCAGAGATGACCTTACACCCATGTGGCCGTCTGAGATCAGAGGAACGTTGTGTAATTTGAGAATGTTCAGAAAGCCATGATAAACCTACTGTGATTATTCAGTGATGTACCTCAGACTAGGTCATTTTGGACCCAAGCTTTACTTTAGGATCTGTATGATTTAAAATTATTTTTTAAACTGTTTATCATGTCACACTGTATAAAGAGTAGGCGTTATTATTCTGATCATGATGTTTTGCTAGGTTTATGATTTTTACCCCTAGCATCATTTTCCAGAGATTTTTTTTACTGTAGCAGGACTAGAACAGGACAGCCAGTGTGCACTTTTGTGCGATGGAATAGGTCATCTGAATAGAGCAGAAGGGAAAGTGGAATTAGGACAACACAGGAAATAAAAGCCAAACTTATTTCATCGTTGGCCAGTGTCTTGATTTTTTTATGGGTCTTTGGTTAAAAAGACTGCCTGCCTTCTCTGGAATTCATACAGTTTGATTACAGATATTACAGTTTCTGATTTTAGATCGGCCAGCAAGAATTTATATGCATTTCTTTTGCCTCAATCCATCAATCCATCTGCCCAGTCATTCAGCGAGCCAGCAAACATTTACTGAGGCCCAGGTAAATCCAAGCTAAACATTGGCCAATACTTGATTATAGAAGCAAAACATAGTTACTGTTTTTAAAGAACACAGAGTCCATGAAGGTTAGGTATTTCCTCCCTTCCCCAGGATTTAAGGTGATAGTGTAAAGAAAGGAGATAATATAATCAGATGCTGAATGATTTTGACTCTTTTGTAAGACCGAATTGCTCTGTTTCTTTTGGTTATTTGAAATAATTCATGGGGAAGTGAGAGGTGTCATCCTCATCCTCCTCACATCCCAATGTGTGCCTGATGTCACGTTGAGCTTACTGAACCGCGCTCTGAACAGTGTGCATGCTTTCTCGGGTCATGGCTCACATAGCAAATGATAATATTTTTATGCCACACCAAGATAAATGGACAAGGCAACTTAGAGCCAAGTACCACCTCTGGGGTTCTGCGCTCCCACCTTGAGTGGCTTCCGGAAGGTGGAGGAGAAGCAGTAACTTCACACATGGGGTACATTTGCAGCACCCCAGGGCAATGTCAGGGACATTACAACCTATGCACCCGCCCTGCACCCTCCCAGGTTGTGCCTCTGCTGAACCAAGGCCCCACAGATTTTATTTTCTTGTGGACAGTTCGGGCATAGACAAGGGCTACTGGATGTGTTTTAGTAAGACAATGTAGAGAGTTTTTAGGATTCCAAAGAAAATTATTGGAGGTAATAAGTGTTACAGGTTGGAGACAGCTTTTTATAATGAAAATAGGCTGGCTCAGGAATTATTAGTCCTAATCTTCTGACTTGGTCATTTTGGGCAAATCACTTCTCTCTGAACCTCAGTTTCCTCATCTTTAAAATGAGAGGGATTGAACAAGATGAACTTGCAGCCACCCTCTAGCCCTCATATGCCATCATTTTGTACTGCCTGTACGTCTTTCCTGCTGAGTCAGCTCCTGTGCACTGTTCGCTGTGTGCTGGGCACTCGTGACCGGGCTCGTGCGTGCCCTCGGGCCAGCTTCAGGGGGTTCCTGGGATCTAAGGTTGCTGCTTAGATGACAGAGGAATTGAAATCAAACAAAGATGCTGAATGAAGAAAGAAGAATAGACACTGAAGACAGTGTCGAAAAGGAGGGAAGCCAGCTGTAATAACTTCAAGGTGTTCAGTGTCTTTTCACTGTAGTCAGATGATAGGCTGTGCAGTTCAGTCTTCCAGCTAGCTACACGCCTCAATTAAAGCTGGCAACCTTAACCTCTTAGCATGTGTTCCTAACTTCCATTTCTAGAAATACTTAGTGCAGGCACATCAGCGATCCAAGCATAGATATATGAAAGTCAAATCTTGATTGTTCAACTTGGTAGAAGAAAAGTTAGTCTTAAGAATCCTGTTAGGAACTGCGTGTCTTTTTTCATAGTTACCCGAGCCCTTTCTGTGTAGCATGTGTGGGTGGATGAGGTTGCCTAACTGGAGAGCAGCAAAGAAGGCCAGTGGTAGTGCGAGATGGTCAGGGACTGGCTGCATTATGGTGTTAGTCATTTGTCCTGATGACAGATTAGATGGTAGCCGCATTTGTTCATTCCATGACTGTTTCTTGTTTATTTACCATGTCAGATATTTTCTAAGAGCTAGACATTCAAACCCGAGAAGTTCCTGCTACAGTCAAACTCAGACAGACAGACATATGTACATGGTAGTGTTATCAGTCTTAGAAGTTTCAATAAGCATATTAGTAACTGATTTGCTTAAAACGCATAAATTCTCCCACCCTTACTTCCTGTTTTCCATTACCGAAAAAAAGAGTTATATTCGATACATTTAAAAGGAAGTACAAAACTAAATCATGCATTCACATATGAAAAAAATACTTCTAAATACATAAAAATTCACCCTGTAGCCCTGGCCAGTTCAGCTCAGCGGTCGGAGCGTTGTCAGCCTACGGACCAGAGAGTCTTGGGTTCGGTTCCCGCTAGGGGCATGTACCAAAAAAAAAAAAAAAAATTCACCCTGTAATGTACCCTTAAGGACCATGATGTTTCATATCAACACATAGGAGGATACATACACACATACACGTATGTGCATATGTATGGTACACACGTAATGTACATATGTGACGTTTACTTGCACATGCTCAGAAAGGATACTTGAACTGGAGGGTAAGTAAACAGAAGACTGGGTCTGTGTCAGTGCAAATGCGCATTTGTGTGGTAGAAATTGGAAGGAAAGAAGGAAGAGAAAGGGAGGGAAGGAAGAAGAAGAAGGGAGAAAACATTTGATGGTCTGAAAGGAACCATAGTAGTCAGTAAACTTGAACTTACCTCCCTCCTTCCCATCTATTACTTTCCTGTATTGAGCTGAAGCTAGCGTACCAGTACCCATTCCATCAACTGATATATCATTGGAATTAAGATGATCACTCCCCCAAATCAAACAAAATAAATAACAGAATAATTTTTGTTTAAAAAAATATTTAAAATATCCACAGACACTGTAAGTGGTACTTGTGTACTCCAACAACTGTGATAAAGAAAACTTGCTGAAAATCCTTCCAAAGCAGAAAAAAAAAAAAAAAAATTAAAATCTCAGGGAATTTTTTTCCTTTACTGGCCAGAAATTCATTCCAAGAAGTACCAGCCTGTCTCAATTCAAAATGCTTCCCTTGCCAAGGAAGCGGAAGCGGTCGTATTCTTTCCCACCAAACGGGGGGTGAGTTATAATTACCCACCTCGTGTGGGACGGTGAAGCAGCAGACATCTGCCGGGCTGAATCAGAACCCACGAATGAAGCTATACCAAACCGTGAATCATACCTGGACGCAGATGAAAGGATTTGTGTTGTTTACCTCTGTCTTTACTTTCTTTGCGATTTAAAATATGGATTTGTTAGCTCTGGCTCTGTGGTCTAACTGAAGGGAATACATGGATCCCATTTGTTGACTCCTGTCTAATATTTAAAAGTCCCAGCTTTACGGCAGATGGACAGTAATCGTTAATAAGTATCTCCCTGTTTGATTGGATAGTGTCTCCTCACAGATTTCTTTCTTTTTTTAAGGATAGTATAGTTTAGAAAATTTAGAATTGCACAATCTGAGAAGTGAGGCCTTTTAGTTTTTTTTCTTCCCCTCTAATGACAATAACAGAGGAGTGGAAAATGGTATTTTAAACTTTATTTCCAAAAGAAACAAGCCTCAAAACTACTGTTACTTGTAATTTTGTGTATCACGGTATTTTCAGGCACACTAATCTGTTCACTGAGAGTGAGGAAAGGAACAGGGGACTTTAATTCTGAGTTTTAGCTGTGAAAACATGGAATTGTCTACTTGCTTTAAAAATATTTTTGTTCCTTTTTATTTTTATCTATTAGAGAGCAGAAAGACAAACTCGAATTATGGATTCAGCCCAATATGCAGAATTCTGTGAAAGTCGACAATTGAGTTTCTGTAAGTAAGCATTTAACTCTGCTTCATCATATGCTTAAGGGAGTCTGTGTTACAGATCTAGTAAAGCATGACACAGTCTGTTCCCTAGAAATTGGTGGGTTTAATGCATGCATGGCCATACCTGCTGCAGAAACAGCCTCTGCATTGTTGGGGAGCCTATAAAAGGTTTTACCCCCTCTACTGTTTTGCAGTTAATAGTAGTAAGAGATTTTAAAGGTTCTGAGTAATACACAGAGAGCCATATTAATTATTCACATAACTTTTAGTCAGAAAAATTCCATTTATCTTAATATGCCCATTTTCATTTCTTTTCCAGTTTCTTAGTCATACTTAACACTAGTATTGCTGATTGTACTTGACCCATAATGGACTCTCTTGGTACAGTCATGACATTTAAAAGCCCCAAATACGTATTAATAAATACCGAATTTTCCATCTATTTACGCATACTTGTATTACCACGGAGGAACATATCAATAATCTCTTCTTTTATCTTTCTCTGTAACTGTTAGCCAAATTCATCAGTCCCTTAACACTAATGACCCAGTGGTGAAATCCGTGCTGTCCCAGCCCTGCACACAGGCTCACTGAACAGTACGTTAAGGCTCATGATAAATAGTGGGCTAGTTGTGCAGCAAAACATCCTCCAGCAGCAGTTCAGTGATGACTAAGACTCGCAGGGTAAAGGTCAAAGAGTAAGTGTGATGAAAAGTCCAGTTAAAAATCTGACAAAGTCGCACATGACCCTGGTCTGAGAGATTATACACACAATGGTGTCTTTAAACGAAAAGCTATTATGTGGTCACAATAACAATGTATTTGATTTGGAAAAAGAAAATGAGAGCTTCATTTATAGATCATAAAGTGCAAATAAATGACACATTTCAAATAGCGCCACATGTAAATGTCAGTAAAATATAGGAAAACATGTTTTGGAAGATTTTTTTCCTAACTAAATATACTTTGCAGTCTGACTAACAATTTGGCATCATACATCTGTGAAGCATTAAGTAAATGACACTTCGGATCATGGCAATTTCAGCAAATGAAGGGTTTTTGTATTGTAATTTTTAGGTTTAAAAATGGCATTCAAGTCTTTTATAAGTATAAATCTACAGTTTATAAACTAACATTTAGTGCTATTGAACTATTTTTTTAACCATATTTTAAATTTAATTCATTGAAAGGAACAGAAGTGCTATTTCACATTAAAATATGAGACATTGAAGTGACCTAATAGACCTTTTGTTTGAAAATCAGATTTTTAATAACTCCATTTTTGTTTGTAACTCAATAATAAACTATAGCAGATTAAAAATTAATATTTTTCCTTTATTTATAAAACAATTATAATATAAACAGTATATTTTACTTAATTTCTTTTCTTTAAAGCAGAGAGATAAGAGCATTTAAAAATATCTATTTATATGATACCCATGGGTGCTTCATTATGAAACCTTAGTGGGAGAATCTGTTCGAATTTTTTTGTGGGGAGGTGTGTCTTTACTATTGAAAATATTACAGATATCCCTCCTTTTTTTCCTCCATTGACCCCTTTCTCCCCTCTCCTCCCCACCCCTGCCTTCACCTCATTGTGGTCTGTGTCCATTGGTTATGCCTTGATCTTAGAGAGAGGAAGGGGAGAAAGACCAGAGACAGAGAGAGAGGGAACATAGATGTAAGAGAGAACATCGATCGGTTGCCTTCTGCACACACCCCAACCGGGGATCAAACCCAAAACCTAGGAAAGTATCCTGATCAGAAATTGAACCCACCACCTTTTGGTGTCTGGGATGACACTCCAACTAATTGAGCCACACTGGCCAGGGCCACTGGTCCATTTTTAAATAACAAGTCTATAATTTTATAGGCTGAGGGTAAGTTGTAGAATTTGGACACTGGTGAAATTCACCAGTCTTTTGTTTTATATTTATATAAATCAATAGTTATTTCCCTTAAAGTCTCTTAAAATCTGATATTAATATTAATTATAAAGCTTTACTTTAGTTATAATCTGGTAAATCTTTTTCCAGTCCTTTTTTTTTTTAACCATTTGTTTACTATGTGGATTTTGTAAACAAATATTTGGGTTTTCATTTTAGTCCATCTAAGATCTCTTTGCATTTTAATTGATGAGTTTAATTTATATGTAATTATATATGGGTTTATATACGCTGTCTTATTTGGTATTTTAAATTTACTGTACTTTTATATTTACTTCTCTTCCTTTGTTCTACTGGATTAAGTTTTCTTCATTCTATCTTTCTCTATCAGTTTGTATATTTTATATTCTATTTTTTTTATTTAAGTGGTTATTTTTTAGTATATATCCCTGAGTTAATTTTTATAGTATACATCCCTGAGTTAAATTTTTAAAAGTTGGTAAGTGTGTAAACTTGACTTCTCAGCCTAATTTTGTTTTTCCCCAATAGTTGAAACACTCATTTTTTATCTTAAAATGGCTTTATTTTGCCCTCATATTTAAGTGATAGTTTAGTTGGGTAGAAAATTGTAGACCAGTAGTTATTTGTTAAAACATGATTGCGTTGTCTTTTAGCCTGTGTTGTTGGTAAGAATTCTGCTATCTGCTTGTTCTATGTTTTCTCTGTGGGAGAAACTAAGAGAATGAAGATGTATTGCCGCCAGGCCCGCTGGTATATGGGGAAATGAACAGGCTGGCAATCAGTAGCTGACCAATGAATAGTATAGAAGGAGGGAAAGAAAGACCTCTACAAGTCCCAGGGAAAAACCATGCCCTGCAAGGAAGACTATTTTCAAGTTACTCAAACAACAGTGATTTTGCAGAGATCGAACTTGCAGAAGAATTCTTCAGAGTGGACTAAGCATTGCAGAGGCTCTGAGGGAATGCAAGGAATGGAAAGACTGGACAGAAGGGATGAGCTAGAAGTCATAGAATAGTGTACAGGGAGGAGAGAATGGAGAATTGGCAGAAACCTGAATTTTGCTGGTGATCATTGATGAGGAAGATTTTTTCAAATGTATGAGGATTAACTAACTGCAAATGTTTGTGTGAAATTATTATGTGAAGTTGTCCAGCACAGGCCGAACACCCAGATAGTATGAGAAAGCTGATAATCCTAAGAACATTCACCTTTGTTCAGGATTCTGTTGAAATTGTTGATCAATGTCCAGGATTTCCTTCTCTCCTGATATAGTGAGAAAAGGGGTGAAGGAGAAGGAAGTCAGTCATTCTGATGCCCCCCACTTCTTGATGGAAACAAATCATCGTGACTAGGGGTGTCTGTGCTTCCTTTTCTGGAACCAGCAATACCCTGATGGGGTCCATCTCCGAAGAAGTCCTGCAGCAGGCGGCAGGGAGGGAATTAGCTCAGAGAATTGGCACCTCTTGCTAGAACAGCAGTAACCCAAGTGGGTTTATGGGACTCTGTACATCTTTTTGATGTGTAAAAAGTTTTGGCGCCTACCCTTCTATTAAAGAAATATCTTTCATTTGTTTGTTTGTACATTCTTCCATTCATTTCTTCTAGAAATGTTTATTGTGAGACAGCTAATGCCAGGCACTGTTCTGGGTGCTGGGATACAACGGTGGACACATGGTTCTTGTCCCTGTATTCTCAGTGCTTAAAATCTGGTGAGAGCGTGACTCGTGCTGTTGCTTAGGTGAACAGATCTGATGGAGTACTAAGACTATTCTTTCTCTCACTTTTAAAATAAATTGTTTAGAGCATAGTCATAACATTTCTGTCTCTGTGTTCCGAACAATCTGTCAAAGGGAGAAATGAATAAGGTACATTTTATTGATCTTGCCAAATTGCTGCCTGTTAACATTAACTTCAGAAGTATTCCACAGATGTTAAACAAGTGTTTGTGAGCTATTGCAGCTTACTAGTTATATGGAATGTTGCATGTCAGAGAGTATTTGGAAGATTGGTTACTTTAGGGAGATAGCTTTAAGGGGGATTATCATAATTCTGCCATAGTTGACAACTTTGGATATGCGCTTCGATGGCAGGACTTAAGGTCTTCTGATTTATTTAGAAGAGAACTCTTCTGTATGTGGAATCCATGAAGACTGTATCTATGAGGATCAAAACATCATGCTTTGAATTACTGTTAAGTGTTTTATAGACTTGTGGGACCAGATCAATCAAAAGAATAATCAGTGGGATTTTTTGAAGATGATTATGTTATAGACATGATAAAATCTTCACTATCAATCTTTTCCCTCTTGGTTACTAATTAGATTAGTGCTCTCTAATGAAGGCCCTACATTTAGTTAGACCGTACTTAGCACTGTGGCACTTTAGAGATACTTCATGGAAGGTTCCCTGTGTACTGTACTATTAGATATACTGAGAGACAGATGCATGGTGTTTGTCCACAGAGAACTTATAATATGGTTTGAGAAATTATACGTACACATGAAAGGATATCTGATAAATGTTCACTAAATGACTAGAGTGGGGAACTATATCTTTTGCCTGTAGGGACAGGATTCATATGAATGAAGAGTGATGGGAGGGCATTCCACGGAGGAAAAGGAGCAAGGGTGAACACAGGGAGGATTATAGGTAACATCAAGCCCAGGTGACATTTTAATAGGGAATAATATGAAGGCAGGTTAGAATTAGTCTACAAGGTCTTGAGAGACAGGCTGAAGAATTTGGACATCTTTGTAACAAGGAACTGTAACCACAGTATTAGATCAGGCCAGGTATCAGTTTATTCTGTTTAATTCTAAATTAATGACTGTGCCTATTCTAATAAACACATTTTAAAAGGTATTATAAATACAATTTCTGTGTGTTCCTCTTTTCATCACAGGTTTTTCTTGCAGGTTTTTTTTTTTTTTTTTTCCACCAGAATAAAACATATGGCAAGCAAGTAACTCTTCTGATGATTGTTGCAACATGAACTATGGTCAATGTTAACTTAAAACGTATTCTCACAGGATGGGAAAAGTGCTATACATTAAGTGGCTTATTATACTATGTTATGTAGCATGAATACAAAATAAAGGACCCAAATGCATAAGACAGTTCTTGGGACTAGAATATCTAGGGTAATAAAACTTCAAAAACAATGCATTTTATGTGCATTATCTTTCATATGTAATTTTCAAGAGATGTATTTTTCTTTTTGTGATAGTAATTTACAGTATTAAAACACTTCAAAAATTAAATTTTCTACACCTGTTTTTCTGTTTTGTTTTGTTTTTTTACTGGCTAGCCAAAAAAGCCTCCAAATTTCGAGACTGGTTGGACTGCAGCAGTATGGAGATAAAACCCAATGTTATCGCCATGGAAATTTTAGCATATTTAGCATATGAAACTGTGGCACAGGTAAGAATTCTAGTCTGTTATATCAGTCCATACATGGCCGGTTTCTCCTTACCCCCATCTATGATCAGTTCTTATTCTCTCTACTGTTCTACCAGGAATGAGAATAGCCATGAGTTTTCTCCTATGACAGTCACCATATTCTGAGATTTAGTTCAATTATATTTCTTTGCATCCTCAGCTCTGGTGGCTGTTAGGGTAAAAGTGACTGTTGCCTGAAACTTTATTCTAACCAGAATGAAACGCTACATATTTTTTTCCTCAACATTAAGTTCTAAGTTTACATCAGCCTTATTTAGACATTGTTTTGTGTTTTTTGTTTGTTTGTTTGTTTTTTGTACATGCCCCTGGAAGGAACCGAACCCGGGACTCTCTGGTCTGCAGGCCGACGCTCCAACTGCTGAGCCAAACCGGTCAGGGCTAGACATTGTTTTTGATCTTCAAATAATACTCTTCTAGATATGTTCAATCTTCTTGAATGGGTGTAAAAATCTGAGTCTAGAATCCATCCTCTGACAGTTTCTCAAAGCGTGGTCCTTAGGCCACAAGCATCAGCATCTCCTTGTTTCTTGTTTAAAATGTAAATTCCTGGATTACAACCCAGAGCAGACCTACTGAATTAGAATATCAGAGCTTGGAGCCCAGAAATCTGTATTTTAAATGATTCTGTAGTTATTATGAAGTAAAGTTTGAGAATCACTCCACTGGAAGATCAGAATATTATCATTTCTGTTCATGGGTAGGTCTGTTTATCGGTCAATGAAAGCTGATGCTCATGTCCACAATACGGATTCTTAGGCAAACAGTATTATCAATAACATTGGAATGTATCGCTTCTAGTTTTGCCACTCCAATGACATAGGTGATATTTCCAGCTACGTGACTGTATTTCCATTGTGCTGCTCTCCTAGTTGGTCGATCTGGCTCTTCTTGTGAGGCAGGACATGGTAACCAAGGCAGGAGACCCGTTCAGCCATGCCATTTCAGCGACCTTCATCCAGTATCACAGCTCTGCTGAGGTAAGTATCAAAAAATCCCTATGACATATCTTTCTTCTCATGTCAAATATTTACACAAATGCTTCTTTGGAAAAGATCATGTAGGAATGTATGGCCTCTAGTCAAAGAATCTTAATACAGTCAACATTCAAACGAATATTTATTGAGAACCTACTGTGTGCCTGGCCCTAACAATCCACCTAATGCACTGATTTCCCCCCCACCTTTTCCGTGCCTCATTTAGCTTTCCTAGCCCTTCAGTGACAGAGAGACAGTTACAGGGCACTTCTCATTTCCATGGGAGATGAACCACTAGTTTTGGTAATTGACTAACATTGAGAAAAGTTGTTTATTTCTTTGTGCCTTAAAAATGAGAGGATTATTATTCATGTAATAATAATTCCTGATATTTATTGATAATTTTACATTCTAGCTATTGATCTACTTCTAAACCTGATTTCAAGAAGCATGACTCCATTTATCCTTTGTGTGTCGATTGGTCCTATCCTGTAAAGATCACATCTCTTCTCATCCAGTCTGTTGCTAAGATCCCCACCTACGGGGACCGTAGAGTCTTGCCAACTTTTAGGCTTTGTATAATTTCAGTAGGAAAAAATACTCTCTGTAAACAGCATGTGCCTAAAAACCAGAACTAGAATATCATTGACATGTACAGTTGTAAAGTGAGCTATAGATCAAGTTGGGTGAAACATATAGCCTAAAAATGGATAAGCGCCCTTGAGAAGTTGATGAAAACTATAAGCCCGTTCCCGACAAACACATTTGCAAATTTTGCAAACAATTTTAGGGTGGTCAAAGACCCTCTAAAACCATTCTATGGAACTAAGGGATCTGTGAACCCTACGGACTCCAAATTTAAGTACACTGCTCTAGGCTACTTAGTCAATCCGTAACTCTGTATGCCTATATAGCGTGTTATTGCAGGCCAAAAATTTGACATCTTTTTATGCCTCTTAAAGAATCAAATTGGCTTGGAATCCAAGTAGGAATTTAAATGTTTATGCCTATTAAAAATCCATTTTTTTCTTGGGAAAGGTCATACATCATTATCAGTCAGCATACTTTTAATGTCCCTAAAGATTACTCAGTTGATTAAACACTATTTGTTTATGTTACAGACCCAAATTATGATGTCAAAGAACACCCTTTAAAAAGCCTTTGGTACATGTTTGCTTTATGAATGTGTGTATAAGTATGCTTTTCATTAACATCAGACAAATTTGTTGTAACATTTCTAATTGAAGAAATGTACAGTGAACATCACAAGCCTAGTTTTCTCTTAACATTCAAGGGATTGCTTGCATGGCCAGGAAAACTCTTCATTTCCCCCTCTCTTGGTACTCCAGGGTGGCCAAGCTGCCCTGGGCAACTACTCAGCAACCACAGCCGCTCTTCCCAGCTACCCAGCAGTTAAGAAAAATGGTCTCTGTGTACTGGGTTCCTGGGCTCTCTGGGAGGTGGGAGCAGGAGTGTCAGAAAGCGTCCTGACTAAATATGTTAGCACAAGCCCCAAGCTTTTCCCTGGCCCGCAAGACACCCCTCCTCCTCCGAGACTGGGAGTCAAAATGAACATTTGGGAGACTAGAAGTCCTGTCCTTTGCTACCGCACTAACACAAAGAGAATGGCCACTCTGAAGCGGGGGTCTCGTCATCGTCACACATCAGCGACCAACATGGAGGGCCTGCTTTCAGGATTTTACCAACTTGGGTGCAGAGGGGAGCTCGGCAGACTGATAGGATCTCTCTTCAGGGAGGTAAAACGAACAAGGAAATAAATGAGCAAGCAGACATACAGTTCAAGATAGCATATACTAATTCCCAAATGCACGGCATAGACAGAGTGCAAAGGTCAAAATCATTTCCTAATTACAGTCAAAGGAGACTTCAAAGAGGAAGCTGGGTGTTGAAGGAGAGAGGACTTTGATGAGACAGTCAACATGGGGAGATACCATGGGCCTCAGAGGCACCATAAGTATGATTGTACAAGAACAAAAACCAAAAAACTCTGATTAAAATATTCCAAGAAAGGGTTCACTGGGGAGCAGTAGTAAAATATAGATTAGAAAATAAAGGCCTCAGACACTTAGTTATTGAGGAAGTTTTGAAAGTTTCTTGGTTTAAAGAGCCATGAGTTCAAATGGGTGTTTTAAGAAGCTCCAAGTGGAGGTGCTATGTACAGTGGTAGGAATTGGAAACTTAAGGTATGAAGTTGATACAAAAGGCATTCTATTTTAATTACCATTTCTTAAGCATTAGCTATATAAAGAACTGAGCTAGTTAAATTATCAAATTTAATATTAATTCATGTCCATTTTCTAGATTCTTTTTTAGCATGTGGTTTATGCACAGGAAGCAATGATCTTTAGGAGCTATCTTGTTTTTCCTAAGAACAACTCATGCCAGATTAGCTTTATCCTTCCTGGTTGATAATATTTCTAGGCAAACAGATCAAAGAAATACTCTTAGCCAATATGTGAATTTCAGCAGAACATTTTACAAAGTTTAGCATAATTTTTTTTAATTATAGAGAAGTGTAGGCCAGTAGATAATATGTATGGTCAGTATGTATGGTTGGTAGGATGACATAGATTATTAATACCATATGTAAAAAAGACAGAGACTTTTATTTGCCTGTGAATTTCTTAGGAGCCAATATTGTGATGTTGCCATAAGGAAACCTTTGTTTTGTTTTGGTGCTTAGGCACTACCTTATAGGGTGGGCGTTGACACACAGTAGAGGCTGTCTGAAGGGAAGTGAACGGGGATGAAGGAACCTGAAAACATGTATCAGTAGCTGAAGAACCTAGGGGTTTGACCTGTAGAAAAGCCTGTGAAATATAACAATCTTCAAATATGTGAAGTGCTTCTACATGGAATAGAGAATAGACTCACAGTCCTAGCCGGTGAAACCAGATAGATATGAGGCATTTTCTGAAGGAAGGAAGGAATTAGGTGTGGGAGGAGCCAGAGATATCTACAATGATCCTAAGATACCGAGTTTGTGTTAATAGGAGAAGGCTAGTCACCATAGGTATAAAAAATATCTGGAAGGCATCCAGCTTCTAGGGGAAAGTTTAGAGGTTCCTTTTGAAACATGTAAGTTTGACATGTTAACAAGACTTCCAAATAGAAATGTTTGTATCTGACAGAATATAGAAATTTTGGAAGCTGCATCCAAGGGCTCCTGATTATATCTAAATGATCAGACATATTAAAAATTAACACATTTAGGCATTTAGGGACAAGATGGAGGCATCATATCTGTGGACTGGATAATTATAAATTGTGTTTTTATATTTGTAAGCTTCAAATAGTATTAAATTCATGAGATACTAAACAAAATCAAATGTTAGTAGAAGTCCAGATCACCTGATCTAAAAGCCACATCTCTGGACAGGGGTCTTGCATGAAGTCCTACCCAGACTCTCCGGAGAATACACCTCCTCCTACACCGACGGCTCCATCATGTGGATCACAGCACTCAGGGAAAACCACGTTAGGGTCCCTAGGGAATGGGAATGCTGGACAGGACTCGGCTAAAACCAAGCAAAGGAAAAGAAAAAAGGTCAGTGATTTTTTTTTCTCTTTTGTATTTTTTTCCAGAGTGGAGAAAGCCTTGTTGGGTTCTTTTCAGAGATAGGGAACATGTGCTCTGTTTTTCACATAATTTAAATTTTTAGAAGCAGCCAATTTGTACTTAACCATATTTAATGTCTACTCGAACTTGAACAGTTTTCTTCTAGATAAAGGAAGATATTGAATTTTGTAACAGTTTGTTTTAAAATTTTCAAACATAGAAAAGTTGAAAGACTTGTAGAATGAACACCATATATCTGGATTCTACCATTAACATTTTACTATGTTAACTATATAGAATGTCCCAAAAAAATGTATACACAACTTTGAATAATTATAAAGCCAGTGTTTATTAAAATACATTCATTTTCAAAATGTGGTAGAATCTACAGACACCCTGTATATATTTTTGGGGGACACCATGTATATTTCCATTTACTGTGCATCTTATTGTTCCTTTATTTATCCATCAGTTCAATTTTTTTGATACATTGCAAAGCTGCAGACATCAGCACACTTCATGCCTAAATGCTTCATTATGTATAATTTGTTTATGGTTCTTTTTTTAAAAAGGTAAAACATATTCACAGTGAACCACTCAGTTCTTAAGTATACTGCTTGACGAATTTTGACAAATACATAAACCTGTTGTTTTCTAAGCCCCTCTCAGGATATAAAAGAGGGCATAGAGGGAATAAATGGTGATGGAAAAAATAAAATAATACAATAAAATAAAATAATAAAATTGAAAGGGGTTAGATTGACTGCTTACTCAATTTGTGGATATGAATGTGTTAACAAATACCAAGTATTATAATCCATGAATATGGCATATCTCCTCACTTATTTCTATTTATAAAATCTCTCTTTTTATCACTGGCAATACTATTCTTCCTGGACTGTATTTTTTTCTGCTTAATCTAGCCATTGCAACCTTTTTGTGCTGTGTTTATATGATATATGTTTTTCTATCCATTTCCTTTCCTTATATCTATATCTTTAATATTTAAAGTACATCTCTTATAGACAACAAATAATTGGGTCTTGCTTCTTTTTCTTTTTCCTGTGTGTATCTTTTCATTGTAGTCTTTAATATCATGATATTTAATGTATTTATTGAAATGGTTGGATATAGGTTAGCTATTTTGTTCTTTGTTTTCTGCTTCTTCTATTTTTGTTTCTCTGTTTTTCTTTCCTCTCTTCTTATGAGTTAATTGTGTCCTCTTTCAGGAATCTAATTTAATTTATCTATTGATGTCTTAGTGATGTCTCTTTGTATCATTTTTTCCCCAGTGCTTATACTAAGGATTATGACATGCATACTTAGAATTGTTAGTGTACTACTTTACTTGCATAAAATTAAGACTATTATATTTATATAGGTCCATTACTTCACTCTTGCCTTTTATGCTATCATTGTCAAACAACTTACATCTACATGTTATAAACCATGATACTATTTTTTGCCTTAAATAATCAGTGTATTTCAGTGAAACAGAAAAAAATAGACTCTAACATCTACATTTCCACTGATTTTTTATTTCTTTTTTATCATTGGAATTTTCTTCTGGTATCATTTTTCTTTTCATTCTACTAGATTTTATTTAGCATTTGTAACAGTGCAGGTTGGCTGGGGATGGTTTCTCTTAGTTTTCATATTTCTGAAAATATCTTTACTTGTCCTTTATTCCTGGAAGATGTTTTCACTGGATATAGAATTCTGGATTGGCAGTTTTATTTTTAAGACTTTAATGATATCATTTCACTATTTTCTAGCATTTATTATATTTAATTACATGTCTGTAGATTTTGTACTATTGTTTCTGTATATGTAACATGTTATTTTTACCTGGATGCTTTAAGAATTTCTTTCCTTATGTTTGGTTTTTAGCAGTTTGACCATGATATAGATATACATGGTTTGCTTTGTATTTATTCTGCTTAGAGTTCACTGAACTTCTTCAATATTGGTTTATGTCTTTAACCAATTTGGGAGAATTTTTAACATTTATTTCTTCAGATATTTCTTCTACCTTATTCTTTCTGTTTTCCACTTCTGAAATTCCATATACATAATTATTACGTTGATACTGTTCCACAGTTTTACCTGAGGCTCTGTTTAATTTATCTTTCAATCTTTTCTCTCTGTTCTTCAAGTTGGATGAATTACATTGATCTTTCTTTATGTCCCTGACTCTTTCTTCTGTCAGCTACAGTCTACTGTTACACCATCCATCCAGTAATGTTTTATTTCTGATAGTTTTATATTTTCCGTTTGAGTTCTTTTTATAGTTTCTGTCTACGTTTATTTTTATTGGTCATTTGTTATAAGTTCATTTTGTTTTATGTCCTTGAGCAAAGTTATTAATAGCTGCTTTAAAATTCTTGAATGGTGAGTTAAATATCTGGGTTATTTTAGTCTCCAATCAGTAAAAGTCACACTTTCTTAGGTTGTTGCATGTCTGATAATTTCGAATTATATTCTGGACGGTATGAGTAATACATTGTAGAGATTTCAGATTCTGTTATATTCCTTTGAAGAGAATTCTTATTGGTAGTAGTATGTATATATGTATGTTAAGTGGGCAATTTACTTTTCTAGATTCAACTCTAAACTTTAAGCTCTTCTTCTGTAGCAGCAACTAGACTCTCCTTTTCTTCATTTAACTTTAGTGAGGTTTCTGAGATTCAGTATCACACAGGAATGGTTTAGGGATTAGTCAAAGAGTTAGGTGGTTTATACACTGACTCTTGATTCTGTCCTTTTGAGGATTTTCTTCCTCACTTTATAGGTTTTCGAGCTGCTACATTTGTGTGCCCCACTATACTGAATGGAATCTGCTCTTAAGCTAAAAGAGTAAAAACAGGAAACTCACCTCATTGCCATTCCATTCTTCTTATACACACCCCTTCCAGTTTCTGCCTGTTTTTTGATCAATCTCTGTTGTTCTAAGGCACTTTTTAAAAATAATTTGTCCAAAGTTAATACTTTCATCTAACTAGGTTGGTAAAATAAGTACCATTTGCCATTGCAAGCAGTAGAACAATGTCAAGATATAATTTCATAATTGTGATAATAAGTAAATTTAAGTTTCAGCCTCATCTGGTTTCCCCTTTCATTTACAAAATCACATAGCTTGTTTATTAAGGGAAAATTTAAAGAATTTCAGCTGTAGTGTTAACTCATTAAGTAACTGAAACAGTGTAACAAAATGTTACCTAAAACACTGCTTCAGTAGACTCAAAGTATATAAGAAGAAGCTGTCCGGTTTGGCTCCGTGGTTAGAGCATCAGCCCATGGACTGAAGGGTCTCAGGTTCAATTCTGGTCAAGGGCACATTACCTGGGTTGTAGGTTCAGTCCTCGGCCCCAGCTGGGCTTGTACAGGAGGCAACCAATCAATGTGTCTCTCTCACATTGATGTTTCTCTCTCCCTCCCTTCCACTCTCTCTAAAAATCAATGGAAAAATATCCTCGAGTGAGGATTAACAAAAAAAGAAGAAGAGGAGGGGGAGAGGGAGATGGAGGGGCAAGGAGGAGGTCATTATGAATACAAAAATATAATAATAATTCTTGCCCTGACTTTTTATAAGTTTGAATATTCTTGAAATTTTTTTCTCTTAAATATTCAAACATTTCTCTCCTAATCATGTTGCAAGCTATTAAATCAGAGCTATTTTACAGCAGAAGGTTCCTAAATAAAGTATTAGCCCAATGCATGTATAAATTCCCCTAAATCCAAAATTCCTGGCATGCAAATTAATAGTGTCTCACTTCAGAAGTATTCTTTATTTCTCTGTTTCCTCATCTACATCTTTTTACATTTATATAGTTTGGCTAAACTTTTATTTTTACTCACTGGAAACTTCAGCTATGGTGGTAAAATGGTACAATGTTTATTCTACATAAAATAATAAAGCTCCTATTATATACCAGCTTTGTCTACTAGAAGCCAGGAGATTTGATGTATAGCCATATTCTAATTCTATCATTGTGATCTTGAGCACATCCCTTATCTTTACTCTCTCATCTATAAAAAGGGGGAGGAGTTGGAAAAGTTTAAAATAGATGATATTTTGTGTTCCTCCTACATTTAATATTGTATGAATCCTTGAATTCAGTGATTCTCTCTTGTCTTCCCATTAAATAACATTTCTACATTTAACTTTAGTTTTTAAAAAAAAGAGAAGCTTTTCCTAGTTATATAGAACTACAATTTTAATAATTAACATGTCAATTAAACTTTGAACTGAAAAGATTAACCACATTATATACTGTAATCTTTGGCCAAAGAATGGCCCACTTTCATCTGAAAAGAAATCCTCTCTTAGCAGAAAGGTCTGGGAGAGCTGCACATAAAACACCAAGAAGGAAGACACTTGTCTGGCCGGTCAGATTATATATCAGCCTTTGTGGTCAGTGAGTGACAGCAATATCAGTAATACTAGGACCAACCTTTCATTCGCTCTAATCTGAGATATGTGTTACTCCTTAGTAAGACTTAATATTTCAAGTGTAACAAAGGATCTAGTCTACTATATGGGTGGGGAAACAAAAAGAGGCAATTATCTGAGATTCCAGGTCCTAGTTAAACATTGAATTACCCTGACAAGGGGAAAGCTGAACAAGGATAGAATACTTCCACCTTGACAACAACTTTTAAGTTGGAAAGAAAAGAATCAGGAAAGGTATAGACATTTGTGAGGGATCCAGGGACAACAGAAATTTCAGTATAAACTTCTTGTACCACAGATGAGAGTTATTCAGTGCAAGCCAGCAAGGACAAGCAGAGGGAGGGTACTCACATCCAGGAAATAGGGAGGACTTCTGCTCCCAGCATCAATTTCTGGGTGAAGAGACATGAATAGAGACAAAGTGGAGGAATACTAGAATGGAGTATGAATGCAGCCAGGAGGAAGAGGACCTGGCTCATGAAGAACTTGACCAGTAGCTTGTACTTTACTTAAGGAAATAAAGATTCAGTCCCCACAGAGATTTTGGCAACTAGGCAACTATAGACAAGACTCAGTATTTTGTCAAATATGTGGGTTTCAGTTTTGAAAATGTAAAGAATATTCTAAAATATAGGCACAATCAGAATAGGAAACATGAATTGATACAAAAATGTAATACCTTTTATATGTGTTTATAGCAGATGTAAGTTTTTTTTTTAAATATTAGATAACAAATATATAAATGTAATGCTAATTCTTCCGAAACAATTTTGAAGAATATTGCAAAAATGCTAGCTAGAGTTACTGCTAAATTAAAAATTCTAAGCTTGCTGTGAATTTTGAATTTGAACAGATTATAAGAAACTTGGTTAGGAATGTTAAGATGTTGACAGAAATGTGAAGGTATTTGTTGAGGTGGAAACAATACTGGGAGTACAATGTTTGAGATTTAAAGGTTCCCTTCTAGAGAACCCAGTGGGCAAACCAGTCAAGTGTGGAGGTATACATGGTAACTTCATGCTCATGTTTGCAGCTGCTTAAGTGTAGCCGGTAAACCTGAAATTGGCAAAATGGAAAATCTAAAGACATTTTTCACAAAACTGAGTGTCTTATTTTTATGTAAGTTGGCGTCATCTTTTTTGCACAGAAAACATGATTCAACCAGGCTGACGTACTTGTCTTCATGTCGTACAAAAGCAGTCACAGGCAGTTTCTAACTGTGCTTCCTACTTCCGTTTTCCCAAATCCTATCTGATGGCCATGCGGAGGTTCTGAGAGGCTGACCAAATGTTCTAGACCAAACCCAAATTTATCCGAGAAAGTAGAGGAAGAGTAGACTCTCCATTGATCATGGAGAAAAGAAATGAAAAATAAATTCACTTTGCAGGGAGAAGGGAGAGGCCGTAGAACACACAGGAAGGACTTCCCACCCCGCTTAGTGTACAGGATATTGACCCTCTTGATGTCCCTCTCTTTTTATTTCCACTTGAGTTTCCACCGGAAAACTTACTCTACAACCCAAATATTTACACTCATTTCTACAAATGGATAGAATGCCTCAACTTACTTCATAAGCATGTGTTAATACCTAGCAGGTTAATGAGTCTACGGGGCAGGCAAAACAGTTATGAGTACGTGAAACAGAGTTTATTCTTGCATTATTATTTATTAATTATTGTGTTATGTATTTGAACTGTAAATCTACTTTTTCCCATCCCTGTATTTTAGTCATATTCACATTTTGGAGCCAAATGAACTCTCAGAAGAAGTGTCTTTACCTTAGTCAGACACCTGATAATTCATTTATTCTAATATATTCCAACTGAAACCAAGTATTTGGAATAAGAATCTAGAAGGCTCTCAATAAAAACCCTGTGCACTTTTATATCAGTGCCAGAGTGAGGGTTTAACCTGTGTTACATAACTTAGTCCATGTTATTGTGGGCATAGCAGATATGTTATTTAGGGTATTGTTGGAATGACATTGAGAAAGATACCCTAGCATAAATTCCTGTTTGGCTTATTTCAAATCTTGTGAAAATAGTAAAAATAATCAAGATCTATTTTGTTTGAAATTTTACATCTTATTTCAGGTTCAGCTTGGATAATTAGCAGATGCTCTCATTTTATAGGAATTTTTAAGTTATTTTACTAGTTTGTAATAGGAAAGCATGCACAAGGTACAGAACGTGTATATTTAAAGTACAGAAGGATATACAGTGAAAAATGTGTCCTCTAAACCCTGTCCTCCAGCCACCCACTTATCCTCCAAGAGTTAATCACTGTTCCTGAGTTTTGGTTCGCCCTTGTAGAAATACTCTATGCTTAAATGAGTATATAATGTTCAGCCTTTTTTGTTTTTTTAAACAAGTGACAACATAGTTCTGCCCAACTGTATACCTTGTGTTACTTCATACAGTATATTTTAGAGATAGGATATGTATGGAGCTCAATAGGAGTATGTATGCAATTGCCTCATTCTTTTTAGTGGTTTGTTTCACCAAATAGATGTATATAATTCATTCAGTGTTCCCTCATTAATGAAGATTTAGTTCACCAATCCAGTCACAGTCCTTATATATCTGTTACCTTGTACCTGTGTAATATACCTGTAGGATAAATTCTTATATGTAAAATTACTGGCTCAAAAAGGTTGTGCTTTTTCTTTTTGATAAGATTTTGCCAAATTGCTATCCATAGTAGTTGTCTTAGTTATACTCCTACAAGGAATTAAGAGAGTGATAATTATAGTAATTATCAGAAAAACAAATAATCTTCATTATGTGACTACAAATGACTTCTAGACCACACTTACAGTAATATACAAGCCATCGATTCTTTAATGTTGATGATCTGACATCTGGTATCCACTGCACTATAAAGCAATTATAATTATTGTCCCAGTTTTGCAGATAAGGAAACTGAAGTGCAGAGATGTTACAGCACCCGACAGAGCTGGTAACGGATAGGACCTGCACCCAGCTAGCTGGAAGTAGAGCCTGCGCCTGAACCATGAGACTAGAATGCCCCTATTGTGCATTTCGCAAAGTTTTAATCGTGTTATATACATTTCTTGAGTTGGTATCTATAGTCTCATTGCACATAATCTTTCTCTTTCTTGTATCTTTTTGTACTTTAAAACTGCCTTTTACAGATGAGGCAAATTAAAATAGAAAGTTTTTATTTTATTCTGTTTTTGCCCTGAGGATGCCTAGAAATTAGTACCAAGTTGAAATGATCTTTTATGACAGTCCCCATGTTATAAAAAATATACATAGCAGTTTTACATTTTTCATTTGAAAATGGTTGACCCTCAAGTTATTTCAGAAATATGCCCAACAGGCTCCAAAGAAACGTTTATATGGTAAAAAATGTTTGAATGTTTCTTTAAAAAAATAGCTTCCCGTGCTTCTTTCAGCACCCCCACCCCCCACCCCCCGCGCCGGTGTGCACGCAGGTGGCCGTGCTTCCCAGCCTGAGCCACCTCGTGAGCGCTTGAGCAGAGCGGCGGCATTGCTAGGCCTGCGAGGTCGGGGTCACGGAGAAGTCACCTTTGACTCCTTGAGGAAGTTTTAGATGTAGTACATGGCAGCAGTGATATGCACCCGAAGGGGAAAAACCGTCCATTTTTATAAAAGTTTATTTTCATATTTTATACACTGTAGTTCTGTTGTGTGTTTTTGATTTAGTAACAATTTATGTGTTTTTCTGTGGCAGAGCACTGCGGCCGGTGGTGTGGAGGCTCACAGCGATGCCATCCAGCCCTGCCACATCAGAGAGGCCATGCGACGCTACGGCCACAAGATTGGCCCCCTTTCCCCATTCACAGTACGTAATAACAGAGTTATAAAAAGTTATATTTATAATCTGAAAGAATTTTGATTTTCAAGTGGTCAAATGAAGAAGCAGTGGAATTGTTGAAAGCAATTTGTGGTGACTGTAATTTTGTTGTATAAAAGTGGCATAATTCTCTTGGGAAATAAAAGTTAGTCATTTTGTCTCTTTTTGGAAGGACGATTTTTTTTTCTACAAAATATTATTTTCTTTCCATTACAATTTATGCTTTTTTTGTTGGAGCTTATATTTTCTATTTTTTAAAGCTTAGGTTTATAAAACTTTTTTGTCAAATTATATGTATCCAAATATTGCTAGAAGCACTTTATATTTTAAAATTGGTTAGATTGGCAATACCACTTCTATCAGATGTCCTGCTCCCAAACACACTTTGAGTTGGAAGAAGAAGAAATGATTTCTCTACTGGCTTTGAAGTAGGCTGCGATGCAGACAGTCTTTCACATCTTCAAATGGTTTTAAAGCTTATAATCAGGGTTTGTTGTGTTCTTTTTTAAATAGAGAATTAAAGACTGTATTTCAATAGCCTAAAGAGTGTGTGTGTGTGTGTGTGTGTGTGTGTGTTAATTAAGTGCTCATCTTTTTGTCCCTTTAAAAAAAGAACAGCTTTATTCATGTTAATAGAACTATCTCCAAGTCCTTCTCTGTTTATAGGAATTGGTTTGATTTTCCAGAAAGTGAGGATAGATTTGTGACTGAGGAGTAGTAGAATTTACCATTTGTTTCTTTGTTTATGGACTTCTGCTTTAATAGACTAAAGCATGATATCTACATATAACATTATACACACATACACACAGAAGTATAACATATACAGTGTGAGCTAATTCTTATCTAATAAATATATAACCAATATGCTTTCAAAACTACTGATGCCATTTTAAAATGCTTAATTTAAGTAGATCTGGAAAATAGAAAAAATAAGCCATGACCTAGAAGGTTCACTTAACCACTGCCAGAGCAAAGGGGCAAAATCAACAGCAAATAGTAAAGACTCCACCACAGTAGGACACCCCAGTTCTTATCACACCTCAGATTTATGTAACATAAATCTGCCTGTTTAAGTTAAAAATGCTCTGCAAAGTGGGAGATAGCGAGCGAGAGAGACATGGATATACTAACATGTGGACCCCTGCCCTGGCTTTCACATACCTTCAACTGCTCAATGGAGGCGTTGGGGGGTTGCTGATGCTCAGTACCCTGATGCCACTCCCCTAGGTGATACTTTATGTGGCACCAGGGACACTTTGATACCTTGGCTTTGAGCTGTAGCTCCTAAGAGGAAAGGGGGCATGTGGGCTGCCTCTATAGTGACCATAGATTGAAACCTAAATTTTTATACAGAAAGGCTAAGCTAACTTACCTCCAACGTAAAATTTCCTTTGTAAACTAAAATGCCCATGACCAATTAGTTTATATTTATGAAACATAAGAGATCTTGTCTTTGCAACATGTTCTAAATCTAGAATGCTTGTCTAATGTATATATAAATACAGTATCTAATTTAGAGTGTCTATAACTTAATTCATATGTAGCCAGTAATTTGAAATTGATCTGAAGAAGTAAAATAACCAATAGGTTACATAGAAACCTAATTTCAACATTAATCAATAAACCAATAAAATGCATTCAGTGAGGCATCATTCTGTCTTCTATATGACTTCTGAAATAATTTTATACAGAATCACAACATGATCAATTTCAGGAATATAATTCATTGTATAAAGAATTAAGTGTTCTACACTTTGGGAATTAGTTGAAATGGTAGAAGAAGTGAATGATTAAAGCCATGTTGGTTGGAGGAGAGGAAAAAGTACCAACAATGCTTTGCACTGGGTAGCTGCTGGAGTAGAGAGGAAAGGGGGCGGGGCATAAACTTCAGTTGCCTGCCACTCATATGACTGTTGTGGAGACACCTGTAAACCATCCTTCCCCACTCAACCAATTGTTACAGTGCAGGCATACTCATTTTATTGCCCTTCGCTTTTTTGCACTTCATAGATACTGTTTTGTTGTTTTTTTACAAATTGAAGGCAAGACCCTCCACCAGCCAGAAGATTATAACTAGCTTTTTGTGATATTTGCTTTATTGCAATGGTCTAGAACCAAACCCACAATAGTTTCGAAGTATGTCGGTAGTGTTTTTGGCATATTGTTTTTTTTTAGTGAGTTCTTTTCTGTATTCCCATTTATTCTCAACCTGGTGCAGAAAATTAGAGAAAGTATCATACGTAGAAGATTTAAGTAATTTTTCTGAGGTTAAACTATTGATTGATTAAGTGATGGAACCAAGGCTAAAGTTCAGGCCTTCCAACTCTCAGCTCCAAAAATTTTCTCCTAACTCACAAATTCTTTCAGCTGTCCTCACCCCTGTATGCCTGGTCTCCTGTATTCACACGCTAAAGAACATTGAAAGAGATTAATTTTGTGTTTTGCGTATCTTTTATTTTTCCTAAATAATTCTGAAAATCACTTCAGAGTCGCTGATTTTTAGAGGTTATATAGAGTACTTGTGTGATCTCAGATGCCCTAAGTGGTTTTGGTGGTTGGCATCTTATATTGTCCTTTACTCATAGTCGTTGATGTTATGTGAGGTTATACTGTGCAGAGATTGACTTGATCCTAGAGCCAGATGACCAGGGTTCAGATCCTAGCCCTGCCACCTACTAGCTAGGTAGCCTTAAATGCGTTTCTTAACCTCTCTATGGCTCAGTTTCCTCATTGGTGAAATGGGTATAATGATAGAACATGCCTCATGATAGAGTTTCAGGAGTACTGTGAACTTGATATGTGGTAAGCTCTTAATAAATGATATTAATAATTATAGAAGTAGCCCTAGCCGGTTTGTGTCAGTGGTTAGAACATCAGCCCCTGGACCAAAGAATCACGGGTTTGATTCCAGTCAACGCCACATACCTTGGTTGCAGTTTGGGGCCTGGTCCTGGTCGGGGTCATGCGGGAGGCAACCATTCGATGTGTCTCTGTCTTTTTTTTTTATCCTCACCCGAGGACATTTTTCCATTTTTTGTACAGATAGAGTGGGAGGGAGAGAGAGAGGAACAGAGAGAGAGAGAGAAACATCAATGTGAAAGGAACACATTGAGTGGCTGCCACCCGCACGACCAACCAGGGCCGGGGACAAACTGCAACTGAGGTACGTGCCCTAAGCGGGAACCGAACCCGGGTCTCTCCAGACCGTAGGCCGACGCTCTAACCGCTGAGCCAAACCGGCCAGGGCCGATGGGTCTCTTTCATATTGATGTTTCTCTCCCTCCCCCACCCACTTCCCTCCCACTCTTTAAAAATCAATGGAGCCCTGGCCGGCTTGGCTCAGCGGTTAGAGCGTCGGCCTGCGGTCCAGAGAGACCCGGGTTCAATTCCCGTTAAGGGCGTGTACCTCGGTTGCAGTTTGTCCCCGGCCCTGGTTGGTTGTGCGGGTGGCAGCCACTTGATGTGTCCCTTTCACGTCGATGTTTCTCTCTCTCTCTCCCTCTCTCTCTCCCTACCCCCTCTCTCTCTCTCTTCCTCTCTCTCCTTCCCACTCTATCTGAACAAAAACTGGAAAATTTTCCTCGGATGAGGATAAAAAAAATAAATAAAAATCAATGGAAAAATATTCTCAGGTGAGGATTAACCAAAAATTAAAAAATAAAAATGTAATGGCAATTGTTGGTTTTTGTTTTTAATAATATTCTTAGAATTTACTTATGCAAGTTTACATGTAAAACACATTAAAATTTTTTGTGAATGAAGTGGACTTTTATAGTTAGAGCATACTGTTTTTCCTCTGAGAGAAAATATCCTGAAGAGTAACCCAGCAGTATTCGTTGTCTATCATGTAGAAGGTGATGAGACATGTTTTATCTAGATCCCTGCTGTTTACCAGCAGTGGGCGTTGCCCACGGTTACCTGCTCCGAAGCTCAATCCCAGCTCTCAGTGGGAAGTGCTGTGAATGGCTGATATAAAACCAGGTCTGTAATTTTGAAAGCCAGAGAAAAGAAACCAAGTTCACTGAGTGAGATGACATAACCAATGTGTAATGCCTACATCCATTTCAGTTTCTCCTGAGTGAGATTCAGAATAGAAAAATATGTGACCCTCCTGAGCTTGCAGATTATCAGGTGGCTTTCTACTGAAGCGGGGAATGAGACAATAAAATCGCTCATTTACACATGGTCATTAACCCAAATACCTTAAGTGCATCCCTAGGAGAGAGTTGTTTCAGTATCTCCTGAGCTATCTTGAATTCTGAGACAGAATCAAAGTGTTTTAGAGCCGGCTAAGACCCCAGAAAACCAGTTAGTCCAGGTCTCAGAAGCTTTGCACTGCACCCAAAGGCACCTTGTAGGGGACTGACCGGGAGCCCCAGAAGCCCGCCTCCCACTCTCCGTTTACTGCTCTTGCCCTGGGCCCTTCGCTGCGGTGTGTCTGTATCCGGTACAGAGGGATGTCCTCGTATCATTGGTTCTTCAGGTGCTCACAGAGCCAATAGGATCAAAGATATGACATTTCCTTTAAGAATTTCTCACATTAAACTTTTAAAAACAAAAATGGCATAGCAGATTGCTTTGGTTTAGAATGTCATGTTCATAAATAATTCTTATGTCATGAGCACGTTACCATTTGCATCTTATGTGTTCAGCCTGGAAAATGTAATGTCACAAAACATTAGAATACTTTTCAAATGTAAATACCAAGTAGAAATAGGGTACACATTCTTAACTATTTGTGTTTTTACTGGAAGTAAAATAATTTCTCAGTAAATAAATTTTTTTGAAGTGTTAAATGTATCATTATAGTTGTGGACTACTGTTTCTCAGAAAAAAAAATTAACATGGTGGCATAGTTATAAGAATAACCTAAAAGTGAGTGTTCTCTAGAAAAAGATGTGAGACTTTTAATTTAGTTGTTTTTAATTTTAAAAATAGGGTGAGGGTTGCAGTACAAAATTTATTATGTCAAATTACATAAAATT